CTACTACTCATTGAAGAAAATTTTATTCAGCCTCGGAGTAGCACCAGTAGACTGAGTGAATCCAATCTTTACTTTTCTCAAATTCGGGAATTTTTCCCTGGAAAATCCTGGGAAAACATGAGGCAAATTTACTCATCGCTGAGTTCCTGCACTTTTGGCGATTATGAGTGAACTAAACTCAAATTTGGGTCGTTCTCATTCGCCGTGCATGTGTAAAGTTATGTGGAAACGTTGCCGTTACGTTGCGCTAGCATCTCCTGATTTCCTCTATAAATTTATCACTTTCGACCAATTGGGCGCTTGTATCGATAAATTATCTGTTGAAAATTGCCACTTGGCGCTACAAACAACTTAGTGTCTAGTGTAAGTTTTGCAACGCCAGCGCCACCGTGTTGTCAAAGAGGGTTTTTTAAGTGGGGAAGTCGTAGTTAGTGGTGCTTAAGTCGAATAGGAATCTTTACACAAGTTTTCAGAGAAATTTTGTTCGAGCCTCCATGTCTGTTCTCTGTGCTCTGATTGAGATTCTTCTGACGTGATCGACCGTGTGTGAACTAATGAAATATTTCATCAAATATTTACTATCGAAAGCTGTCAGTTGGTTTAACCACATGTGGCGGCTTTCGTCGAAGACCCCTACATCACAAATCATTATAATACTCATCACCATGTGCACCAGTTCATCCGCATAGAAGAACGGTTCACTTTTCGTGTTTCTGCATAGTTCGAAGTGTTTCTTTCTTTATCCTTAGAAACAAATTTTTGAAGAACTTCACGTGGGAATCATCTGCGTGGGGTGAATGTATATACTGCAACAATGACTATAAAAATATTAGATTAAGCAGATTTGTTAAGATTAGTCCCACCACGGACTTTTGCAATGTTAACAACAAACAGCGTTGCCTGGTCTTAAAAAAAACTGGACCAATTAATATAAAATCTGGAAAAATCTAGAAACCTTAACAAAATCCAGTTTTTAACATGATGCTATTGAAATCAAAGTGATGTGCCAATCTTCCGTAAAAATCGGTCAGTATGATTACAGACAAACAGACATAACACATAGAATATTTCTCACTGTAGAACATCGTCGCTAAAACATTACCGTCATCTGTTGAGTACAATGTGGTGGGCACTACACTGAATAGATGGCGGTAGTGTGTAAACGTCAAACGCAAGGGAATTGACTATGCGCGCCACAGGTGGCGGTACTACCAACTACGATACTTTTAAATTGTCCGTTAAAGGCTTGTTCGATGAACAACTTGCGAGAGTTATGTCTGTTTGCCTGTGGTAGAACCCTTATGCTATACCATGTATATAATTCAAGTAACCTAAGAAGATCAATAATTGGACGTTAAATGAGAGAGCTTTAAACAAAACACATTTGCATGTATTTTGGGGGTGTATTTAAGCTTATGATCGGGAGTGTAGGTTACCCGAGCAAAGTAAAATACCAACCTGATATCATCTTGAAAACAAATCTTGTTATTCCAGATATCATTTTGTTTTCAGTTGTAATCGCATAACTAATTTAGTTATCAACATCGACTAATTGTGTTATCAGTTTGTTGTTATCATGAAAGAATATGAAATGATGGAAGGTTACTTTAAAACTTCAAATATTATTCGCATGGTAAGAAAAAACACACTGCCAAGCATGTCTCAGTTATCTGCGTAAGGCTTTAATACCAAATCGATAAAATAATTTAAAATTTGTTGAAAATATTTGCATGGATCACAGGATGTGTTATCAGGATGTTTTCGGTGATAACTAAATCAGTTATTTTTGTGATATCCACAGAGTAATTTTTTGTTATAATTTTTGTTATGTTGGCTGCTTATTCAACCACATTTTCAGTTATCAAATCTGATCAAGATCTCAAGCTGAATATACGAGAAAGGCACGTATATACTAGCGCCGCATATTGCGAAAATTCTGAACTATAATTGTCACTCAACAAAAAGATCTTGACTTCCTGAAAAACTTTGCCGAATACATTTACTTTCTATCTGGTCAGGATCTAGAGATATTTTATATGCGAGAATTTCACATGTATAGTAGCGCCGGGAAGTGCCCACCTGCGAAAAGGCCTTGACCTCCTGAACAACTATGCCGAAGACAGTACCTTTCTATCTGGTCGGGAACTCGAGATATATCACATACAAGAATTTCACATGTATACTAGCGCTACGTAGTGAGAAAATTCTGAACTACTATCCACCAGCGACAAGGCTATGATCGACTGAACAACTTTGTCCGAGACAGTAACAGTCTATATGGTCAGGATCTCGATATATTCCATGTTGTAATCAATTAAGTCAAATCCCACGTAGTATGGTCACAGTTTACGCGGTTTCTATTTACATTTTCCCTATTATCCGCATTTTTTGGGTGTTTACTGTAATCAATGTTTAGCTTGTATAGAACAAAACAAGTTTTTTGAGGAATACTCGTAGGTTTCAGATCGATTGGTAACTCAGCAACAAAATGGCAACGGAAAACTCATGCGTGTTGTACAAAGTACAACAGCGCGAGTAACGGAGGGTTAATATAATTTGATGAAAATATGTATTTCATTAGAGTGTTAGCTGTCTTCTTGTAATTGTAATTGTAATTGTTCAGTGCATAGGCTGTGCCTTCCGCTAAGAAGGCTTATCTAGGGACCAACCCCCTAGTCTATACACCTACTGTCCTTCCCGTTGCACTCGTCAGCTCGTGCGATACTCTAGACACACATGGGTGGTCGTATCCGGGTCCTCCCCTGGGTAGGCTCGTGTCCGTCCAGGTTCTGGTAATTATACTTTTAAAACTCACCTTTTGATTATAATGTCGAAAATGCTGAAACTAAATAAAGGTTAGCGATCCATATAAGGTGTGTGCTGCGACGGAGTAGTAATTGAAGGAAATGAGGTTCTGATGTGAAGTATAGGTAATTCTAAAATAGGTAAATCAATTAATCATTAGCTCCTAACAGTTACTAATAAATGGGTACGATAAATCACTCATCAATGAGTATTGCCACTCCCACTGAAAAATCGGCAAAACCTTTATCATAAATGGATATTCGATTCCTACCGTGTATTTAAAGTAAAGTAAGGATCTTATCAAGCAAGCACACACCTTTTACGATTCTTATCCTACTTACGGTTTCCTGCACATACGACTTTTCCTAGATACAAGCTTCGTCCAGTATACATTGGCTGTCTCCAACCGGCATGATCCTTTCTGTCTGCTTCCTCTTGCCGGTGCAAGTTTAATTCTTCTTTTCTTGTTCGAATTTTCTTTTTCTTCTATTGATCTTCTGGTCGTGTTCCCATTTGTCCTCAGGCAGTTAATATTAGTACATGATAGGAAGAAAGAAAGAAAAAGAACAAGTTAAGTGTGGGCCGCATGCATTGGTTACTTATTTGGGTCATGGTGTTGTCTTCCCTATTTATTTGCTTCTATTCGCTCTCATATCGCAACGTTGAACTCTGGATCAACAATAGAAAAGAGCCCGTCAGCATCCGTAAACAAACCGCTCCAAAGCCCCCCACTCACAAAGCGAAGGCCACCCACGCAAACCAACACCATCATCGGATAGGGGAAACTTCCACCTACACGAAGATGGTGTTGGCCTGCGTGAGCAGCCTCCGATCCGTGAGGAACGGGCCTTCGACGGTCTGCCCACAAACGCCGATGGGCCCCCCTCCACTGTTGATCCAGAACTCACCCCCTTCCCTCACACTATTATGGTCGGAAAAGGGAACCCATATTTAGGAATCTATCGCGAACTGCGATGCAGAAGATATTAATAGCAAACTAATCTGGAACTGGTCTAAGACATATGACCCAGTGAGTATTGACACCTCACACTGTTGTGAATGAGCACGGACGCAAGATTTACTAGAGTATTAAATGCAAAACGCAAATTCAAAATAAAACTTGACAAGTCATCGTCAATCCCCTTATTCTTGGGCAGGGTCTGACGATGTGAATCTGATTTTGATCAGTGAACGGACCCCATATGGTACATTTTCTCACTATGAACATGTCATTTCCAGCCTATCTGAACTATTTAATAAATGGAAACCATAACATGGGTTACGCTTCCCCTAAGCGGGCCCACCGCATCCTATCTCTGTCTTATCTCAAATGCCAATGGTTTGAATGTATCAATATATACATTGGAAATGACGTTCAATCAAATAAACCCATACCCCACTCACTTAACCAGGCTTCAGAATCGTCCAGTGGGCAGTGCGCTCTACACTCCAAGTTCCCTTTCTTTCAAATTCACCCCAAATTTGATATTTTACCCCTTGGAGTGTTGATTAATCACTCACAATGAAACATTGTTTCAGAGCACGGACTTGAGGTTACTAGAGTATTAAATAATCTAGGTCCTATTAAGGATTATATCTGAAAAATCCAAATTTGGCCAACGCCCACCATTAGAGTGTTAGCTGTCTTCTTATATAAAAATAACAATCTGTTTACAATTGTCAGTTTTGTACTTTTGAAAGGTTGGCTGATGATTTTTTCGCACCCGCAAAAGTTTTCAACAATTTCACGTACCTACCTATGTTAAAGGATGCTGTGTTCGAGAACAAACAATTTATACTACTGGTTTGTCCTCGAACACAGCATCTTTGAACACACGTGAAATTGTCGAAAACTTTTCTGGGCGCAAAAAAAAAACATCAGACGCGGAATTTGGTGAGATCTATCTGATTATAAATGATGTATTGTTACCGTATTCAGTCAGCCAAACGTATCCTGTGGCTTCATCTTCCCCCACTAACAAGCCCTCGTTCAAACTCCTGTAACACTTATTGACCTCCATAAGGGATTTGCGATTGTTTATAAATGGGCACACCCAATCCAATAGAAACCACCACACTGACTGTCCCGGATTCAATGACGTTTCTAAACGACCAACAAAAAAGGTCATGTTAAAAGTTCAAGGTATCCACGCACTCTCGCTTAATAAAAAAAACAACTATCGATCGAAATTTACCTGAAACAAGCACCCGGTGGGCGATTCCGACCGGTCCGACATATTCGAGCTGTAATTATCCTACGGGAAGGTGCTCAAACACACACACAAACACAGTCATAAAAGGAACGGCCAAAGCGAGGACGGTGGTGTTTTTTGTTCGTGACATCCAGGATGCGGTGACGCAATTTAAGCATGTACATTCCACGGTTGCACGGATGCATGGATGCGCGCGGGAGGATCGAACGGGTTTAAAGAAAGAAACAAGCACACCAAAGATACTACCATTAGAAAAACGGGATGGGGTGGTGCACTTGGTTTTTTTTTTTATATAGCTTTTGAACCGACTACATCATACTTGGTTCAACCAATTCCGCGCTAACGCTACCTTAAGAATTCTACCACTCGCTAAGACCGAGCAACCGGCCTCCAGTACTTACCGCTCGTATGTGAATCACAGCGATGTCATCAAAGTACGGACTGAGCGACATGCGGTAGATCTCCGACGCCGGTATCCGGTACTTGATTTGCATGGTTTTCTGATCCAACAGCAGCATCGAGTTGGTCGAAATCACCAACAGGATTGGGATGAACTGGAATCAGTGAATTAATGGAATCAATCCACGCGAATTGCTTAGAGAGTGCAAACAAACCTTCCCGCTCGATCGGGCAATCTTGTTGATGATGTCGGCAAATACCACGTACTGATCGTTGTGCTCGCAGCTGACCCGTTTCCATTGGATGTTCTGCCGCAACCGGATGTAGTCCCCGTGGAAGGGATGGGCGACCGTACGGGGGTAGGAGATCTTCCGGTCCTTGAAGATAATACTGGCAGTGACCTTTTCGCGCATTCGGTTCCGAGCCGGCTGATCGAATGACTTTCGATACTTGTAGCACCGCCAGCGGTGGAAAATGTTCCGCAGCAGTTGGGACGTCTCGGCCAGGACCGACGGTGCCGTTGGCCAATCGTTGCAGATAGGGCTCATGTTGTCGTGCGGTAACCGCAGCAGCAGGGTGAGCAGGAATTCACGGGTCTAAAACAACGGTAGGATCAGATTGAAGCTACGAATATAGGACTCACATGTGTGCAACGCTCACTTTGATGAGGATGAAGAACCGACCGATCACCTGGACCGCCCAATGAGCTTGCTTTTTGAATTCAGTTAACCGCACCTTTTCTCGTTCCTGGAAAGATATCAAAACACAATTCAGTACAATTCATATCGTCATCCGTACAGGCATTATTGATACCCACCCTCCAACTTCTCCAGCAGGTCGATATGACCAGCTGACTGTGGCGGAGTGCGACGAAGTGTTTCCGCTTGGTATAGCAACGATAGGTCTTCTGAATCAGTACGGCCAGCTTGTTTAGCCGCACTTTCCGGAACTCGTCCAGCTCATATACGGTTCGGGGACTTCTGATGAACACCTTTTTGCGGCCGATGGTAAACTCGGCTCCGGGCAGGGGAACACTGCGGATAATCAGGGCCACCCCGTCGATGATCGTTCCGTTGAAGTGAGGCCACGTGTATTGGCAGAGAAGTTTGTAGCGCTGCACGAAACGCGAGTGCACCATATTGAAGTAGTGTCCATTGCGCCACAGGTTGATCAACGGCATTAAGCTACGGATCGATTGGGGTCAAATGGAGCTAGCAAAGTTTAGATAGTATAACACTTACCACATGTACCGAACTTGGTGCTGGACCAGCCCCAATTCCAGCATCTTCGGTTGCTTCAATTCGTTCGGTTTGATACAGAAGATATAGTGATTGTAGCGTTGTTCTAGTTGCTTCAACAGCGTCTGTAGCGAAGTTCGAAGATTTGTACTCAGACTGGTCGGTTTGCGGCCGGAATTGTGCCGTTTCGGATTACCCTCCGGGAAGAGGCTGGTCACGATTGGTAGCTCGCAGTTTTGGTACAGACAGGCGCTTATGTGCTTCGGTAGCAGGTCCAGATTCTTCTCGATGAAGCCATGGCTGGTATACAGCACTGGTCCCTCAAAGTGGCGAATTCTGAAAAGATCCGAATTTAACTCAGCATTCCCCGTTCAGGAAAATTTCAACGGGGCACTCACTGAAAACAGTTGGAAGGCAAACTGGGATCACGGGCTAGGAAGTTCGTGTGGCCGGAGCAACACTGGTGCAACCGAGTGAGCAAAATTCCATCGTTGATTATCTGCGGTTCGTCCAGCAGGTGCAGAATCCCGAAGCAGGGCTTGTCGATCAACTCGCAGATCGCTTGATTGTCGAAAAAGTCAATCTTAATCCAATCGATCCCCTCCGCCACGTACAGATCCTGCTGGTACTTGAGGACGTTCTTCACATAGTGCTGCAATTATTCACCAGAGCAAAGAAACCCATTCACACAACTAGACTAAGGTAGACCAAATAAATACTACACGGACCTGCTGCAACCGTTCGTTGCAGTAGTTGATGGCAAACTGTTCGAAGGAGTTCTTCTCCAGCACTTCGAACCCGTAGAAATCCAACAGACCGATGGTGCGCCCTCGAACCGCACTCAGCGAACCGTACTGCTTTAGCTTCAACAGTTCGTTAATCCTTGCGGCAACCAGCGTAAAAAGGCGCCCGTACAATGTCCGGCACAGGGCAAACTTGATCTTGGCAGCGTACGTGGCATCAATCTCCGATCCGTCAGTTTCGATCTGGTCCCAACTCTCACCGACCCGCGTCAAACAGTGGAACAGCAGGTGCCCGTCAAGTTGAAGCAGCTGGGCGATTTCGTCCAGTTCTGAAAGGTGCAAATTGGAAATCGGATTAAGCTGTTGCAATATTCCAGTCAGACTTCACACAGCCGTACCATACTCATTGGAGATCTCACAGCCCTCGCTTCCGTCGATGTTGGTCGTGGGGATGAACATAAGATTGCCAAGCTTCAGCACCACCGCCAGGATGGTGAAGATGGAGAAGATTTCGTCCTGATTGAAGCCGATCACCTCCAGCGAGCGCTGTGGAATAGAAGTGTAAGAACCTTATTGAGATTGACTTCCCGAAAGAAATCTGTGGAACGATTTCGAAGTACTTCAATTGCAAGCCCAAGGGACTTCAGTGGCAGTGACCTTTGATAAACTTTGAGCGCAGGTCAAGTGAGTTTTCCAGATGTTTTACTCGACGCGCTTTGGGGACAAGACCAGTGGAAAGGCGGCAGGTCCAAAGAATTCCAATTTATGCTGAACTAATCTTAATGCTCTAGGTCGGTTTGGGGAACTGCAGGAACGTTTCAGGGGAACTTTGAGAGCTAGCGCGCGTACGGGGGTTGGAAAGACGGGTCCAGAAGACTTGGTGTGCAGATTTTGGAGGAGGATCTGATGTATTTTGAGACGATCTTCGAGAACAGGTCTAATGAGTATCGAGAATGCAAAGGGACATCATCAAGAACAAGTTTAGGTATTTTGTATTTTTGTTCCAAATTCCGGAAGGCTTCGGATGCAAGTCCAACGAATTTCTAAGACAAATCCTGTGGACCTCACAAGCAAGTCCAGGAGATTTCTTAGGCTGTGAACCATTTGCCGAGTTAAATTTAGGCTGAGTTTCACTGCCGCACTCCCCAGTTCGATTTATTCACTTTAATAATGAGAAAGCGAAACGACGAAAGTACACTTTTCACGGGTTTCTCAGTGCTGTTACTTAAGGCAAACGGCATCTCCATAGAAATCGGGTGACTTAAGTAACATCGAAAACTATTTTGATCGGAAGGTTACGTCAAAAAGCAATTCGACTGGTAAATAAATTTAAAAATGGGATGTGATCCTATATTCGGACAGTATATAGTGTAATAGCAGGAGCATCGATTGACACTGATAGCTCGACTTTGTTTACCTTTGTTACATTCGACGTAATGAAAAATTTGCTCTTGATGTCGTCTCTTTATAAAAAAGTTAAAGGGTCTATGCCTAGGGGCACGAACGGAAGCTTGACGTAGGACCGCTAGTGGACGGAACAAATGTGAACATTTAGTTCTTTTAATTGATCAATCATCATAACTCTTTCCGTTTTTTATTTGTAAGCGTATCCAATTTGTAGTATTTATTTCAAAGATAAAGTTGATGAAGAGAATCCAAGGGACTGACAACTTGAGTATTTTCGATTCATCTACTCGACTTTAAAAGGTGTATTTTGATTTTTTTGTTATTTAGATTTTAACCCCTCACAGGATTTTCTTCCGAATTATATTAATGGGGCGGGGCGGAAAGTATCGTTTGTGCAGAATATGTAAAAAAGGAGGGACTTCGAGAGATTGCACTCGTGAGAGCTAATTTTCTCACAAATTTGATTTTATTGGCTTTCTGGGGACTGAATATACACCCAAAGCGAATTATTCCCACTTCTCTCAAATTCTATATGGATTTTTAACACTTCCTACCAGCGTGTTCTGGAAAATGGTCGGACGTTGATTAATCTCACCAAAACATTCGGGCCTACAATTCCACACCTTCTATAGAGACCAGGTTGAGCCTTGATAGCTAGCTGCTTGCGGGAACTGATGACCTTGACCAATGTCCAAATAATACTCTTTAGCAAATTTGTGGTGGCCCTGAAAAGGACCGTTTTGTAGTGATGGTTTAGTAATTTTGAGCTATGTTTTCAACACGGATGAGGCTGTCGAGCTGTATGTCGTTTGGAGCGAGGGTGACACGCATGGCATAGAAGACCGACCCGCAGCGACTCACGAAGAGCTACTGATTCCGATCCATAGCATAGCGGTGCAGTTTTTTCCTCCTTTGATGGTTGCTTATGTGGGCTCTGCAGTTCGCTGCTTGCAGGCAGCCTTTCGTTGTTACTGGAGAACAATATTCAACGCCACACGCCGAAAGCACTGCTACTGCTGCTACTAATTTCAACGACCGAATACCACCACACAGTGGTGTGGTCGTTGGGAGCGTGTGGTTCTGGGTATGGCGATGAGTGTGCAAAATATTACGCAATTCCATCCTCCCTATTCGCACGCGCCCGAGGATCGGAGGCGAATGCCACTTCGACTTGTTTCGTCTACTTACTACTCTCTGACGACTGTGCTGGGGAAGCAGCATATGCATGTAGGTAATTGGTGGATTTGTTAGTTAATTCGACGCTTTTGGACAATGCTGGACATTTACCAGTTTTTTAACAGTTTTTTTTTTTTGTTGAAAATCAACGTTCGGAAGCATGCAACGATGCGTAGCCATATTTCTGATCGAATGGTGATAAAATTATTGAAATTGGACCAGGGGCAGCTGAGTTATTAACGTTCAAAATCTTTCTCAATTTGTTACATGTTCCATTTTCGGTTTTCACAAAGTGTACCCCCATATAGAAATCAAAGACGTAGTCCTACGTCAAAATTCAGGCTCTTTAATCGCACCCATTCATCAACACACGTGGGCCGGGACCAACGGCTTCACTTCCCTTCCAAAGGAAGACGTGAGCAGAGATTTTTGTGCCTCAGAAAAATCCCACAGACCTCGGCTGGGATTGAACCCAGAACCATTGGGGTGAGAAAGCAGTTACGCTTACCACTACACCACCGGCACCGGCCAATTTAACTTCTTGTATGCCAGAAATAACCAAGCTCGGATAGCAGGGTTAATCCAACCGGTCAGCACTCGTGTTTAGTTCAGTTACCGTGGGAACGTAATTTGTGATTAGCCCCGGTCCCTTTCAAATTGTATCATTACTTATGTACGGTCGTTATATTTGAATGACGTTTCACATTGATCTAGTAATGGCCGATTTTCAATCAATTAATCGATTAATCGATTAACAAACCGAAAAGTACAAGGGATGGATTTGAGTTCACTCACTCGAGAAAAAGTGACACAAGCTGCGGGCAATGTTTACTAATCATGAACACTAAATGTTCATGAATAATGAATAATGAACATTTAGTGTTCATGATTAGTAAACATTGCCCGCAGCTTGTGTCACTTTTTCTCGAGTCAGTGAACTCAAATTCATCTGTGCACTCGTCCATTGACGAATTTCCATGTGAAATTCCAAATGATTGTCATGTGACCACACATAAACAGAATCCACCTATAGAAGCACAAATGAAATTTATGAGTCAAATGAATTGTATGTGTGGTTATTGCGGATTTCACACCTGATTAGACTCCTGCGCTAAAAATAAGTACACAGTAATATTTTCGCACTGGTCATAAAAGTTAAATATGGAGCTTCTTAATGCTTTCTAAAGCTTTAATTCAGCAGTGTAGCTTGTTAGTAATGTTCTAAAGCTGTTACTGCTTTCAAATAAGTCGATTTTTAAATTTTCTGGCCTGTGCAAAAATATTACTGTGCAATTATTTTTTGCACAGGAGTCTAATTTGGTGCAAAATGCGCAATACACATGGCTTCTATGTGTACACATATTAAGTATAGACGAGTGCACGGATGGATTTGAGTTCACTCACTCGATAAAAAGTGACACAACAGCGGGGCCCTGTTTACTAAAAATGAACACATGTGTTCATTTTTAGTAAACAGGGCCCCGCTGTTGTGTCACTTTTTGTCGAGTGAGTGAACTCAAATCCATCCGTGCACTCGTCAATGTACGACACATAGACATTATCAAACGCCCAGCCCTCGGCGCCTAATACATAGGTGCCACAGTCGGAAGAAGTGTTAGTTTGTTTACTAAAATGAACCATGCCCATTTTGTTATGGCATGTTTGCTATAAGAAATGCGCCTCGTGTTTATTAGCGAATTTCACATCAAAGATTGATTAATTGAGTAGGTAATCAGTTTGGCACGGCATTTGTGACCAGCATACACCTTCCGGTAGTATGAAACAGGTCAAAAACTGTTCAAATTGACGAGTGCACGGATGGATTTGAGTTCACTCACTCGACAAAAACTGACACAACAGCGGGGCCCTGTTTACTAAAAATGAACACATATATGTTCATTTTTAGTAAACAGGGCCCCGCTGTTGTGTCACTTTTTGTCGAGTGAGTGAACTCAAATCCATCCGTGCACTCGTCAATCCGCAGATAAAAAATTTTGTTTTGAATTTCTGTATAGCAAAATAGTGAACTTTTCGTGAACATTAACGGCAAAGAACTCACCAACACTGGGAGACCGTGAGTTCCTGCCCACCTGTCATAAAACCGTCTTGAGCCAGAGTGCTACAAAAAATGAAGCTACCACCGCTGGTGGTAAAAAATGCATCCCTCAACACGCTCATCGCTAGCTTCGCGTCGTTGGGCGTCAAAGCTGAGTATAAACTCAGTGGAATCAACACCAACGTGGTGCTCCGTACTAGAGCGGAATACAACCTGGCCGTAAATCACCTGAAGGATTCCAAGGCGGAATTCTTCACCCACGATATTCGCGGTGAGAAGCCCTGCAAGGTGGTCATCCGAGGTCTACCGAGCTACGACCCAAAGTTCATCTAGGCTCAAATCAAGGACCACTACAAGCTGGTCCCAACTGTCATCTACCGGATTACGCAAAGGGACAAGAACACGAAAAAGTGCCCGGATTGCCTTTTCCTGGTACACTTCCAGAAAGAAACAGTGACGATCAATGCGTTGAAGGCCATCCGCTCCATCAACTCCATTATTGTGGGATGGGAGCCATACCGTGGTGGCCATCACCACCTCTGAGTGTGTCGTCGATGAGGCGGAAGCGATAAAATGCGACAACTGTAGTGGCGATCATCATGGGTCCGACAAAAAGTGCCCCAAACGCGAGGATTTCAAGCGGATCCGAAAGCAGGCGTCCACAAGAAACCAACCAGGGCGGAAGAAGGAAAACATTCCGGCATTCAGGATGCAGGACTTCCCACCTCTTCGTGCTGCGCAACACGGTCAAGCAAATCCATGCCTGCAATCCAGCCCCCGTCAAGGAACGTCTGGTGCATCAGTTGGACAAAGCTCTCCATCCCCCCTGGGTTCTGGAGACAATCACCAGCACAAAACGCCATTCCCGATCTCTTCTCTGCGGATGAGCTGATGAAGATTTTCGTCGACATGACCAGCGCTCTTCGTCAGTGCCGCAGCAAGCCCGAACAGATCCAAGTGCTCGGTAAGTTTATCATTCAGTATGGCGTCACTTCGAACACTTGACTTCCTCCGCAAGCACAATATCGACGTGGGCCTCCTAACAGAGACCCATCTCAAATCCGGTGACAGCTTTTGGTTGCCTGATCACAACATTATTCGACTTGATCGCACCGACTCCAGGGGGTGGTGTTGCGGTCATCATCAAGAAGGGGATCAAGTTTCACACCCTGCCCCACATCCGCACTTCTATCATCGAGGCCCTTAGTGTGGAGGTGGAATCGCCAACCGGAAACGTTCGATTCTTAGCCGTGTATTGTCCTCGCCAGTGTGTTGCCAGCAACGGATAAGGGAGGAAATTCAAGAACGAACTCACCGCTATCACTCACACGAGCTCCCATTGTTGGGGGCGATCTGAATGCTCACTACGAAGCATGGCGCAACTACCAACGGAACCAGAACGGTACTCTACTATTCGACCACTCGCAGCATGGGCTGTATACAGTGGACAGTGGAATGCATTACTTCCGAACATACTTTGGTAAGCAGCTTTTATATAGTAGATTAGGTTGTATATAGTAGTTGTAGGATAGTTGTAGTTGTAAATAGTAGTTATAAGTAGTCTCCTTTTTCCAATTGGAACAAACCAACCCCACCAAGGTGAGAATTCTCTAAACAGGCCTGATAGGACTAGAAATTTAAATAATAATTAAAAATTCCAAATGAACTAAAGTTGAAAATATGCATCTGTGTCACTTGAAAATTCATGCATGTAAACAACACAAATTCAAGAAATAAAGATCATCTAAAGCAAAAAAAAAATAGTCAAAAGTTATATTCCCGGACTGGTCACGAATGTAGGTGGCTATCGTACAGGAAAAAAAGGTCTTAAATAGGTACCTTGGTAAAAGTAAAATTAGTCCGGTCTTCCTCGTTGGTGATGCTGTATTTGAGCAGATCGTACCGATCGATATTGCGCTGTAGTTTGAGTGATTCTGAAAATATGAAATCGTTTATTTTTTTTTTTATATTTTTGGAGTCAACAGATTTGACCCGAAAAACTTACTGAGCAAATGGATATCAGCACCACTGAGCAGCTGGTAGAAGATGTGAAAGTTTCTTTCGCCCGGACTCCGGTTCGTCACGCGTGTCTGCATGAATATAAATGATCAACAATTAGTCCAAAATTGATGTAAACCAAGTTTCATTAGTTAGAGTTTTTGTACCTTTTCCAGCATATCTTTCGGATTTGCATGGAACAGAATGATAAGCATCAATTAGCATTTCTTCTATCCACACTCTTCCAATGCTATTATACTTACATAACGTTAAGTGTCCTCCCGTCGGATCACCCTTGTAATCGAACTCGATATCGAAAAATTTTCCCTAGAAACGAATCCACAATAAGTTTCCCGCTGGATCATACCACAACCCACAATACTCACAAACCGACTGGAGTTGCCGTTCTTGAGCGTGCTCGCATTGCCCATCGCCTCCAGGAACACCTCGGCATGCGCTACCCGTTCCCGCATCTTGGCCAATTCCAGATCGCGCAAGTACACCTCCTTGGTGATGGACTTCAGGATCTGCCGCCGATGAACCGATGGCGACATCATACTGCTAGCTATGCTATGATCGTACGTCAGCGCAATCGACGAGGACGACTTGTGGATGGACCGGGTGCTACTCTGGTGGCAGCATCGGCTCAAATTGCAACGCTTCTGCAGCGACGGAGAGTAGCCACACATGCGATGCAGATCCATGTGACTGCTACCGGCACTGCCACTGCTGGTGCAGTTGTGCTTCGGACAGGATACAGCAAATGCCGACTTGAGCGTCGACTTTGTCGGGAAATCGTTCGCTTCCGTTGACCGGCTGATGGATTGGTTCGAGTGCTTTAGACATTTGGGGGTGCTACCCATTACCCCGGCACCTCCGCCACCGCCAACGCCTCCCATCATGGCCGCCAGGTTCTCCGAACTCTTGTGGTGCGAAATCAAATCGAATTCCACCGTCTTCTCGTGGGAACATTTCTGCTGATGGGGACGATAGAAAATTTATTTCAACGTTCGTACGGCTAGCCATATTAAAATCTCAACTCACCCTGGTGGTGTTGTACTTCATGATGCTGTCCAGTCGGCCGGTGCCCCCGGAGGTGCTGCTTTCGAACGACGAACCCACGCGGGTGATGGTACAGTGCTTCGGTGTCGTTTGGCGCGAGTTGGGATTTGATCCGCGAAGCGAGAAGATCGGTGTTCGACTGCGGCGCATTTCCGACAGCTGCGTCAGGAAGTGGACAATCATGCGGGAGGATTCAGTTTTGCCGGCACCGCTTTCGCCCGACAGCACGATGCACTGATCCTCGTTGTAGTTGAGCAGAAACTGATGGGCCGAGTTGGCCAGGGCAAAGCTGGAAGTGGAAATGGGGGGAGAAACTTGGGTTAGAACACCGGAAACCTGCTTATATAGCTTAATCCTGTGGCCGAACAGCTTTAACGTATAGTCGCTTTATAGCGACTATACTTTTACGAGGTAAGTCCAATTATGGATAATATTCTGATAGCTTCCCAAGTAAAAATTTAAAGCCGTATTTATAAGGCATATTGCAAAAAGGGCTCTCATCAGGCTATTAATGGGCTTGGTGGACATTTGGGTACTTCACCCACGACTACTTAAGATAATGCCTTAAGTAACGAAACACGTCCAAGATGATTAGTACACTGATGCAAAATTTGAAATTTCCGCTCCACAGTGCTCAAACAGTTCCAAATTGGGCCCTGATTAGCCTCCCAAAATTGGAACTCATTTAGTGAGAAACTGACTTGGCACAAACCATTTGAAGTTTATATGGGAATAACTATGAAGAAACCATAATTTCGGTTCATATCTATCTCAAAATTCACCAGTTCACTCTACTTTAGAAAATGATAACTGAGCTTGTTGAAATTTTTTCCAGCTACAACTTTGTTGAAGACCACTTTTCGATCAAATGTAAGGAACAACAATTGATCATTTTAGATGGTCAAGTTTTGAAACCACCACAGCAAGCTTTTGGCGCTACTGTATATGGACGATCAAATGTAAAATACTGTGGTAGCCACAGCGCAGTTCTGTCAAAAACTCAGCATTTTCATTGATCCATTATTAATGATTCAAGTCACTGATGTCTTATGATTATGCTCAATCAACTGTGCAGCAGGCAACATTGGTGTATATGGCGCGTAGAATAGAGGACAAAAATCATGGCTACTATGTCACACTTAAAGAGCCTAAATTTATAAAGAGGCGATATGTCAAAATTGGAACAATCGATTGTCTGTCAAAGTCATAGGAAAAGTCATTCCAATCGAGCAGAAGACCTGTCAAATGGATAAGATGTCGTCTCTTTATAAATTCAGGCTCTTTAGTCACACTATAGTCGCTATATAATAAAGCGACTATATGTCACACTGCAGAATACAGTGTTGCGCACAATACAGTTGCCTAATCTTACCATAAGATTATCAATCTCTTAAACAATTCAGGCATAACATTTGATAACGGCACAAAAGCATTTGTAAACAAACTTTCTAAGGCCCTTAGCACGCGAACCAAAGTACGCTCAGGCAAACCAATACCACTTTCGGAATGGTCATAGTTGCTCGTATCCGATGATGTTTTTGGTTTGCGTGGGCGTACTTTTTTTTTTTTTTTTTTTTTTTTTTATTTTTTTTTTTTTTTTTTTTTTACTCTTTATTTGTTCCAAATTCAAAATAAATTACATTTCATTTTTAACCCAGGTGCTCCAGTTACTACAGTAACTTACCAGCCTTAATTGTTATGATATATATCTAAGTGTTTTTACATTGTTCCTGTCTTGGCAATTCAGTATTTTAAACAGGTTTTTTAAACCTGCATGTCAGTATAACAATTGATAGCTTAAAACTAAATAACTAAAACTAGATCTTATCTAAGTATAAAGGGAATTAATCGTTGCAATTGAGGATTGTAACGATTTTTGCCGGAAATTATTAATTATTTTGTTGGACATTTGTGCTAAAGTCTCAACATTCGAAATTCTATGTACTTCGGTAGTACTGTACCAGGGAGGCAACTTCAAAATCATCTTCAGAATTTTGTTCTGAATCCTTTGAAGTGCTTTTTTCCTGGTAGTGCAACAACTAGACCATATTGGCACAGCGTAAAGCATGGCCGGTCTAAAAACTTGTTTAAATATTAGAAGTTTATTCGTCAGGCAAAGTTTGGATTTCCTGTTAATAAGAGGATACAAACATTTTATATATTTGTTACATTTGGCTTGAATGCCCTCAATGTGATCTTTAAAAGTTAATTTATGGTCAAGTATTAATCCAAGATATTTCACTTGGTTTGACCAGGAAATTGGAACTCCGTTCATAGTGACTATGTGACTATTACTAGGTTTCAAAAAGGAAGCCCTGGGCTTATGTGGAAATATTATAAGTTGAGTTTTGGAAGCGTTGGGAGAAATCTTCCATTTTTGTAAATAAGAAGAGAAAATATCTAAACTTTTCTGAAGTCTGCTGCAAATAACACGAAGACTTCTTCCTTTAGCGGAAATGCCTGTGTCATCAGCGAACAAAGATTTGTGGCAACCCTGAGGCAAATCAGGGAGGTCCGAAGTGAAAATGTTATACAATATAGGCCCAAGAATGCTACCCTGAGGAACTCCTGCTCTAACAGGTAGTCGATTAGATTTGGAATTTTGATAATTTACCTGCAGAGTTCTGTCAGTTAAATAATTTTGAACTAATTTCATAATATAAAGTGGAAAATTAAACTTTTTCAATTTAGCAATCAAACCTTCATGCCAAACACTGTCGAATGCTTTTTCTATGTCTAGAAGAGCAACTCCAGTTGAGTGGCCTTCAGATTTGTTTGAACGAATTAAATTGGTAACTCTCAAGAGTTGATGAGTAGTTGAATGCCCATGGCGAAATCCAAACTGCTCATCTGCAAAAATTGAGTTCGTATTGATGTGAAGCATCATTCTATTCAAAATTATCTTTTCAAAAAGTTTACTTATTGAAGAAAGCAAACTTATTGGACGGTAGCTAGAAGCTTCAGCTGGATTTTTATCCGGTTTCAAAATTGGAACAACTTTTGCATTTTTCCATTTATCAGGAAAGTATGCCAAATGGAAACATCTGTTAAATAATTTTACCAGGAAAGACAAGGTACTCTCTGGGAGTTTTTTGATGAGGATATAAAAAATTCCATCATCACCTGGAGCTTTCATATTTTGAAATTTTTTAGTTATAGACCTTACTTCGTCCAAATCAGTCCCCCAGGAATCATCAAAAATATTTTCCCGAGAGAAAATATTCCGAAAATCCCGAGCAACCTGATTCTCAATAGGACTAGTAAGACCCAAACTGAAATTATGGGAACTCTCGAATTGCTTAGCAAGTTTCTGAGCTTTTTCCAAATTTGTAATCAAAATTTTACCACCTTCTTTAAGCGCTGGAATTGGCTTTTGAGGTTTTTTCAAAAATTTTGTGAGTTTCCAATAGGGTTTGGAACTCGGGTCTAATTTAGAAACATTATTTTCAAAAGTTTTGTTCCTCAGGGCAGAGAATCGCTTTTTAATTTGTTTTTGCAAATCCCGCCAGATAACTTTCATGGCAGGATCGCGTGTTCTTTGAAATTGTCTCCTACGGACATTTTTAAGACGGATCAAGAGCTGAAGATCATCGTCTATTATAATTGAATCGAATTTAACCTCGCATTTTGGTACTGAGGCAGCTCTTGCTTCAACTATAGAAGTAGTCAGAGATTCAAGAGCATAATTAATTTCATCTTTGGTTTGCAAAGGAATGTTTGGATCGAAGTTATATTCCATAAATGTTCGATACTGCTCCCAATCAGCTCTATGGTAATTGAAAGTAGAGCTGTTGGGATTAGAAATTATTTCTTGAGATATTTCAAAAGTTACTGGAAGGTGATCAGAACCGAAGTCAGCATGGGTAACCAATTGGCTACAAAGTTGACATGAATCAGTTAAGACCAAATCAATAGTGGAGGGATTTCTTGCAGAAGAAAAGCATGTTGGGCTGTTTGGATATTGAATAGTGTAATAACCTGCAGAACAATCATCAAACAGAATATTACCATTGGAATTGCTTTGAGCATTATTCCATGAGCGGTGTTTTGCATTAAAATCACCAATAATGAAGAATTTAGACCTATGACGGGTAAGTTTCTGGAGGTCACCCTTGAGAAAATTCTTTTGCTGGCCTACGCATTGGAATGGCAAATAGGCAGCTATAAACGTAAGTTGTCCAAATTTTGTTTCAACAGAAACTCCCAAATTTTCAAAAACTTTGGTTTCAAATGAAGAAAGAATTTTATGCTTGATTCGTCTATGAATAATGATGGCAACGCCACCACAGGGTCCATCAAGACGATCATTTCTATAAATCAAGTAATTTGCGTCCTTCTTAACTGGTCAGGTTTAAGGAACGTTTCAGTTATAACGGCAATATGCACGTTATGAACTCTCAAAAAATTAAATAGCTCGTCTTCATTATCTTTAAGAGATCGAGCATTCCAATTTAAAATGTTTAATGCTTTAAAATCCATTACTGAATTTTAAAGTCATGACAATATTATTAGCAAATTTTACTCCAGTTTGAATAGCATCAAACATGGAGTTAGATTTAAGCATATCAGAAATCATGTCAATTAATGAATTCTGTAAAAATTCCATTTTAGGGGCAGTAATGCTTCCTAAGTCAAAATTGTCAAAATTTCCGTTAGAACGTTGGTTAGTATTTTGATTTCTACCCGCTGCAATAGCAGCATAGGTAGCTCCATTAACTCGCTGAACATTGTTAGCAGCGAGGGGAGTAGGTACAGATGAAACATTTGAAGCAGGGGTGATATTTGTACCTACGGGTACGAATGTAGAATTTGTTCCTCGCTGACCGTTGTTAACAGCAGAGAAATTTGTACCTGGTCGGAAACGTGGAGCGTTTCCTACCTGACGGTTAGAACGAGATTGTAGGATCGCTTTGCGAGTCTTACATTCCCAAAAATTGGATTTGTGGTTTTCACCACAATTTGAACATTTAAATTTCTTAGGATCTTCCTTCACAGGACAGTCGTCCTTTGCGTGAGAGGAATCACCACAATTCATGCATTTAGCTGGCATGTAGCAATTTTTAGTTCCGTGACCCCATCCCTGGCACTTACGGCACTGGGTGAGGTTTTGGAAATTTCCTCCAGTCTTCCTGAAGTGTTCCCACTTCACTCGGACATGGAGCATAAGGCTAGCTTTTTCTAAGGCCTTAAGGTTGTTTAGTTCACTAGACTTGAAGTGAACTAAATAAAAATCATTAGAAATCCCGTTGCGCGAATCGCCAGGACGGGATTTCATTTTCATTTTGATTA